TATGTATACCTATGAAGAGTGTAGGTAAATATTCGTGACTGGCCAGTTATAAACAGAAGTTATTTTCTGGGGTATATAGGTCTCAGAACTTTTATACTATGTATGGTATATTCTAGAAACTCGGTTAATACGGAGTATGGACCTCGGATTTTTGGGTCTTTAGACTGGCTCGATTAATCCAGAGCTCGGATAATCGAGGTTCTATTGTATATGTGAAAAATGTACTATTACCTTGCACTTACAAACCACAATTAGGATTTTTACCAGAAATAATTAATAGCCTATAATATTCTACTTGGGCTCAGAATGATTCTGGACTTTATTGGGTAACGGCTTACCTAAGAAATACAAGTGACACAATTTTTATGGATATCAAACGAAAATGCACTTTTATACAATTTAATTTTTTCTGGAAAACTACTAGAGGGAAAATTGTGAAATTTTTAGGAGAAAAAGAGGAAAGTTAGGAGATCATCAGACTAAAATTTCAAACTTTTTCAGTGAAAAATAATAAAATGGGAAATTGATGAATATGTACTTACTTATCTTTGTCAAAAATCCGTCTGGAAGAAGATTCTTATTATAGACTCTTAGAGTCATCCGACGACTTCTGGATTCTGTTTGTTTACAGGGGGGCTCACCTGAAAACAATAACACATCAGCAGAAAAAATTGTTCATGTATATACAGGGTGATTAACGTATCATGTGCATTGGATTGCAGGTGGATTACATACACCATCTCTATTAATCTACCTGCAATCTGGAAAATTTAATGCACAAAGCAAGAAAAAGTCCTCAAAAAATTCAACTCTCCACTCACTTCAGTTTTTGAGTGAAAAAATTGTTTGTAGAGTATTACTTTACAAAACATCATTATTTCAAAAAAGTCATAACTCCATTAATAATAACGCAATTCAATCCCTTTGAGTTTTTAGTATTTTTTACATTGAATCTTTAGGAAAAAGACCTCAAAATTTCAACTCTACACTCACTTCAGTTTTTGAGTGAAAAAATTATTTGTAGAGTATTACTTATTTAAAGAACATCATTATTTTAGAAAAGTCATAACTCCATTAATAATAACTCAATTCAATCCCTTTGAGTTTTTAGTATTTTTTACATTGAATCTTTAGGAAAAAGTCCTCAAAATTTCAACTCTACATTCACTTCAGTTTTTGCGTAAAAAAATTCTTGTAGAGTATTACTTTACAAAACATCATTATTTTAGAAAAGTCATAACTCCATTAATAATAACTTAATTCAATCCCTTTGAGTTTTTACGTACGTCGGGCAGCTATAATTACGCTTAAGTGTAGGTCGAGCATATACAGGGTGACAATTTTAAAAGCAGCAATCAGGAATATTTCTTAGACAAAAAATACTATTAGGAAGATCTTAAATATATAACCTGTTGGATTATGGATACAGGTAAATTCGCCCCAATGACCATGAGTTTCAAAAGGTCTACTTTAGCCGCTCAGGTATAGCAGATAAAATTCTATAAGTATAAAAACATTATCTTATTTCAATTTTTGTCCTATATCCTCTTTCCAATATAACCCCTCCTGTTTTGGAGATGGGGCTTGCCCCCCCCCTAATGATTTTTCTAAAATGAGAAACACCCCTTTGAAGCCGTGACCATTTCATTTCAGCTACAATATAGAATATGATCAATTGACTTTTCATCTAGAAAATACATAAACAATTTTGCCTGCGGCAAAGTTGAAGAGCATTCAGCTATTCTATTAAAGCCCCATTATAGGTTGAATATTTACGTTGTGCAGCTGACTCCCAACACCAAATTATAATTCAACCATTTCTCGCCGGTATTCGGTAGTGCCCCACTGCTACACTTACCGTATATAGTATATTCAATGCAACAAATGGGATCCTAACCTATTATGGTGGACGGCCTCCCCAGGGGACACCAATTACCAGAAAGACATGATCAAATCCTAATTTGTTGCTCTGGATAATCAGTGAAACGCAACTTCAATAATTGTTATTAAAAACATTTACAGCAAAATGTTTTCTTAATAAATAAATAAATAAATGAGATCTTCTTCATATAGTATTTTTTGTCTAAGTGTCAAATTGTCACCCTGTATGTCCGACGTGGCCTAAATGGAAACATCACTGTCGCGCAGTTTTGCCCGACGTGACATGCAAATAATAGTCTCTAAAAATTTCATTTATTCGAAATGACTTCACAAAATCATCTATTACTTTGTTAATATTTCATATATTTCAATGTAAAAGTAACTATTCTGAATCAGAATTTAATGCTCTTCAAGATGAAACAAGTTTCATTCCAATATTTGAAACAGTTCTGAGATATGAGCCTCCAAAGTTGAAACTTTGAGTCAGATTTCCATAGAGCTCCTTTGATTCTACATCAAAAATTATTTTTTCGAGTTTTTCAAATTTCTGACTTCACCAGTCGGAAAATAAGGTCAAATTTGGTAGAAAAACATTGTGACAACTCTATGTTAAAGGTTTCAAGGCTTGAAACAAATTGAAAACACTTATTGGTCTCTAAAAATTTCATTTATTCGATATGATTTCACAAAATCATCTATTACTCGGTTTAATATTCCATATATTTCAATGTTAAAATAACTATTCTGAATCAGAATTTGATGCTCTTCAAGATGAAACAAATTTTATTCTAATATTTGTAACGGTTCTGAAGATATGAGCCTCCAAAGTTGAAACTTTGAGTCAGATTTCTATAGAGTTCCTTTGGTCTTACATCAAAAATTATTTCTTCGAGTTTTTCAAATTTCTGACTTCACCAGCCAGAAAAATAAGGTCAAATTTAGTAGAAAAACATTGTGACAACTCTATGTTAAAGGTTCTAAGGCTTAAAATATATTGAAAACACTTATTGATGTACGTTAATAACTGGCTTTCCAAAAGTGCACCCAACACCTCCATGAGTGTCTCAAAAAACTTTCAAATTGCCTGTTTGAAAAATACAGCTACATAACTGGATAGCTATACTATCTTTATAAAAGAGTATTATTGTGTAGGTAATGCACCTGTAGATTTTTAGCTGAAAATGTTTAGTGGACTTCCACTAGCAATTTACCCCAAGGTGTTAATATGGGTAAGTTGTGTTGGGTTAGTTGGGTTGTTGCTAGTGGTAGTGGCTTATTGAAATTTACAATAATTAAGACTTAAGACCCAAAAACATCTTTGGATAATTTCCAGTGACAGAATAGCTATGGATTTAAAGTGGCTTAAACTGCAAAATTGTGGACAAAAATCAATTTTTTTGGGACACTCCAGCATTTTATTACAACAGTATCTACATCCAGCATACAGCGTTCTATTCCAACAATACCTACATACTACATAACCAGAACCCAGCATTCTATCTCACAACAGTGGATCATTCATCCTTCACACAAGCTCATCTATACTTTCTTCATTAACGCACTTTTGGAAAGCCAAATCAAAAAAAGAAAATTATTGATGAAAATAGATACTAGAAAACTAATTTTTGGACACCCTGTATATTTTACTAATTGCCAATAGTTATAGAGAATCAAATGAATTACAATTTAAATTTTAAAAAAAATAAAAATAAAGTTGGATTGTTCGAAATTCAGACATTAGAAAAATCAAGGGTTGTTTATTTAAGATTCAATAAATCCCAATTACCAAAAAATATTTATTGGTACTACTTACCAAAATCCAGAAGTCAATTGGTACACTATGGGCACACGACACAATAATCTAAAGCTTGTGTAGAAAAAAAAAATCGATAATTCTCGGACGCAACTGACTGTGGTTCATCTCTTGCGATTTGTACTCGACTAAATCCGAATAAATTTAAATCCCTTTGTCCGACAAAAACCCCCACAAAAAAAGGTAAACAGATAACGTAATAAATATGAATAAGTTAGAAGCAAAAAAAATTAACTACATGATAGAATACAGGGTGGGCTAATGAAAACTTTCCACCCCGATTTTTTGGACTTGAAATGAAAATCTGGAAAAACGCTCAGACACGTCAGTTTTTTATTTGAGGGGGACCAATTTTTTAGTTTTTATCACCCCTGTAGCTTCAACCCCCTAGCTGGGGGGAGCGCAACCCCCCAAATTTGAATAGGGGATAGGGGTCGTGTCGTACCTCTTTTTAAAGGTCTATGACCCTAGAATTTTGTCTCATTTTCCCACCCTGTACACACAATATGTTAATCAACCATTTAAAAAAAAAGAGCTGCCAAAAATGGCTGCTAACTTCACAATTTTGGCTGCTACAAATGGCTGTTAACTTCACATTTTTGGCTGCTGCAAAAAGGCTGCTAACTTCACACCGGATCCCCTTATTGAAAAGTAAAAAAAAAAAAAATATTTATAATTAAAGATAAAGGAAAGGCTTCAGTTATTTATAGATTTTTTCAATATTGTAGGTGCTTAAAATAATTGAAATTGATTTTGTTATGGAAAAAAAAATCTGTTGTTTAAACATTGTAGATTGTCTATGAATCACTAAAATCAAAATATTTTGAATATAAAAATTCAGAATAATCAAATTTATCTTTGTTATGAGAATGGTTCGCTGCAAAATTATGATTGGTAATAATTTGAATTGCTAGTCTAAGAGCCAAGAGCCAGCAATTTATTAAATAATAAAAGTTCACTGGGATACTTTCAAAAGTTTTCTCCTGAAAGACATAGTAATCAAACATCTTTTGTAATCTAAATTGTTAAAGAACTCCTGAACATTAATAGTAGGTATCTCTAATAGCGTTTGTAAATTCAACTCCTCATTTACCCTATATAATAATATGAAATACATTTTTTTCAAGTGAAAATATTTTATCTCTAAAAATCTTGATAAAAGAGTTTGTCTGCATTTGTAGCTAATTATTATTGATTCAAAGAAAATTATCAAAAAGTTTAGCTAAAAGAGTGTTTAATTGAAAAAAAGTAACTAAAAACTAGTGACTTAAATCTTGATTAAATTTTCAATAATATTTCAATTTAGAATATGGAGAGTTCTTGCATTGCAAAGGCAAAAAGTTTGTTGATTTCGACGAAATCCGTCGAGAAATTGAAGCTGAAACCGATCGGATCACTGGTAGCAACAAAGGCATATCAAACATTCCAATCAACTTGAGAGTCTATTCTCCAAACGGTAACCATTTCACACCATCCTAAAACCCCACTAACACAATTGATTTCAGTGCTAAATTTGACGCTCATTGATCTGCCCGGTCTAACAAAAGTCCCCATAGGAGATCAGCCGCTCGACATCGAACAACAAATCAGAAGCATGATTATGCAATTTATCAAACGAGACTCTTGTCTTATTCTTGCCGTAACGCCTGCCAATACGGATTTGGCCAATTCCGATGCGTTGAAATTAGCCAAAGAAGTGGATCCTCAAGGTATTCGTACCATTGGTGTCATAACAAAACTGGATTTGATGGATGAGGGCACAGACGCACGCGATATTCTTGAAAACAAATTATTGCCTCTGAGGAGAGGCTACATTGGAGTAGTAAACAGATCTCAAAAAGATATCGAAGGAAGAAAGGATATTAATGCGGCCCTTGCAGCAGAAAGGAAATTTTTCATTAGTCATCAATCTTATCGTCATTTAGCTGATCGTTTGGGCACTCCTTATTTGCAAAGGGTGCTCAATCAACAGCTGACAAATCACATTCGAGATACTTTGCCTGGATTGAGAGATAAATTACAAAAACAGTATCTCACTTTGGAAAAGGATGTGGATCAATTTAAACATTTTAGACCTGATGATCCTGCTATTAAAACTAAAGCAATGTTACAGATGATTCAGCAATTGCAAACAGATTTCGAACGAACCATTGAAGGTTCTGGTTCTGCTCAAATTAACACTATAGAGCTATCAGGTGGTGCCAAAATTAATCGTCTGTTTCACGAACGTTTTCCATTCGAAATTGTCAAGATGGAATTTGATGAAAAAGAGCTTAGACGCGAAATTGCTTTTGCCATCAGAAACATACATGGTATTAGGGTGAGTATGATTTATTTTGTTTAAACCCAGATTAAGATTTAATTGATGTTGATTTTAGGTTGGTCTTTTTACTCCAGATATGGCTTTTGAGGCAATTGTCAAGAAACAAATCGGCCGTTTAAAAGAACCATCACTCAAATGTGTGGATCTTGTAGTTATTGAATTGTCTAATGTTGTGCGTCTTTGCACTGATAAAGTAATACTAATTCTTCTAGTTGAAAGCCAAAATAACTAATATAATATTGATTTTTGTAGATGACACGTTATCCAAGATTAAGAGAGGAAGTTGAAAGAATTATAACAACGCAAATCAGACAAAAAGAACAGTATTGCAAAGAACAAATTTGCTTATTAAATGATTGCGAATTGGCCTACATGAACACCAATCATGAGGATTTTATTGGATTTGCCAAGTAATTGGTTTCACATTATAATAATCCTAAATTTTTATTGTTTATTTTGTAGCGCACAAAATCAATCAGAAGCTGCAACTGCCAAAGGATCCAGATCTGGATTGGGCAATCAAGTGATAAGGAAGGGCTACATGTGTATTCACAATTTGGGCATAATGAAGGGGGGCTCGCGCGACTATTGGTTCGTGCTGACTTCAGAAAGTATTTCCTGGTTCAAAGACGAAGAAGAGCGGGAGAAGAAATATATGCTGCCATTGGACGGGCTCAAGCTCAGGGATATCGAACAAGGATTTATGTCTAGGCGTCACATGTTTGCTTTGTTTAATCCTGATGGTAGAAATGTTTATAAGGTTTGTACTTATGTGTTTAGTAGTAAGTACTTATTATTTTTTTAAAATTATTTTAGGATTACAAACAATTGGAATTGAGCTGTGAAACTTTGGACGAAGTGGACTCTTGGAAGGCTTCATTTTTAAGAGCCGGCGTTTATCCTGAAAAGCAAACGGAACAACTCAATGGAGAAGAGGTAGAGTAATGATAATTTTATGGTTTGTAAAGAATAAAATGTTTATTATTTTTTAGCCAAGAAAGGCAAGTAAGATTTGTGTATATGTTTAGCCATTCCCTCATTTTTCCGAAAAGTCTTTTTAGTAACAGAATATTTGCTTTGGGGTGTGTGTTTTAATGTTTTCTAATCATTTTTCTTCAACTTGAAATTTTTTAAAATGATTTTTTGTTTGTGCGTACTTAGCTGTCACATTTTTCATTAAACTAGAACCTAGAACAGTTGCACAATTTTTTGTTTTTGAAAATTAAATTTGTGTTATTTTTATATCAAATCTTAAAAATTCTGCTCGAGATTTAGATCACTCAGATGCAGCACAGTGAAGTAGAGTCTCTTTATTTCCATAACTTTTTGGAAAATCAACCAGATTGTTAAAAATAATAATTTTTTTGCTTTGATTTGTAAAGATGTTTTAATTATATTAATTATATTCGTTGTAATTCAGACGAGCAACGAAAGCGCTAACAGTTCCATGGATCCACAACTAGAACGTCAAGTAGAAACCATAAGAAACCTGGTGGACAGTTACATGAGAATCGTCACGAAAACAACGAGAGATCTGATTCCCAAGACCATAATGCACATGATCATCAACGATTGCAAGGATTTCATCAACGGCGAATTGCTCGCTCACATTTACGCCAGCGGCGATCAGTCTCAGATGATGGAAGAAGCGCCCGAAGAGGCTCAGAAACGCGAAGAGATGATGCGCATGTACCACGCTTGTAAAGAAGCTTTGCGCATTATCGGGGATGTTTCAATGGCCACTGTGTCTACTCCGGTACCGCCGCCCGTTAAAAACGACTGGTTGGCTAGCGGTTTGGATAATCCGCGTTTGTCGCCGCCGAGTCCTGGGGGGCCTAGGAAAGCTACGCCTCAAATGGGAACTGTTGGATCTAGTGGTAAGAATTCAATTTTATTTTATGTACACTATAGAGTAAACAGAAAAAAACATATATTTCATCTATGATGTAGTGATGAATTTTCTCTAATGTAGAGAAATTTCATCAGAAGAGGCAGCTTCAAAGAGCTCAAGTATAGATGACTTGGATGACATTGTAGAAACGCCTCAATAGTACCTAGAATAAGGGGAAATGAACAATTCTTCAAAAGCAATGGAGTTTTTGGGTGTAGTGGCAATTTATTTTGATAAAATATTGTGGTGTTTTCTTTGGTCTGAGACATTGAGATTCAATTTGGAATATAGATTTTAAAATCCTCATTACTTTGTGTATATTCTGGTTTTTCTATGAATCTCTAGATTTAGATTATGCGAAACTTGTGTTTTTATGACAAAATTCTACAAATCTTGGATCTTGAATTCTGAGTACCTTTGCACATTTCCTAATTCTTCTCTAAAAAGACTTACTTTGTGAATTCCCTGGTTCGTAGCATTTCTGGATCCTATTCCTATTAGCTTCCTAAGACATTTAGATCCACAGATTTTAAGATTTCAAATTCTGCAAATCTAAAAATTTCACATTGTTTGGGTGGGGGATATTTAGATTTAATCAGTTTCTGGGGGTCCTTAGATCCAAAATCCGTTTTTTCATTGCAAATGTTCTGTTTTTCTTTGAGAAAACTATGAATCCTAAATTCTGTAAACCTTGAAAATCTTTCAACGCTTTTGGGAAAGAACTTTCAAATCTTTACATCTATTTATCTTTAGTTTATCTACTTCATATTTTCATAATTCTTCTCAGAAAGAATTCTCTCTCTGCTATGAAAAATCTACTGGGACCTTTAAATGATTCTTAGAACTTTTCAATCCAAAATCAGTATTTGCAAATTACTGTTCGTCTTCGAGAGTACTCTACAGATTTTGATTTCGAATTCTGCAATTCTTGAAAATATCTCAGTTCTTTCATGAAAAAACCTCCGCGATATTCAGATCCTGAGCCCTCACTTTGCTAATTTTCTTATTCTTCTCTGAAAAGATTCTCAAGATCCTGAATTTTGAGTCGATAATAATTTGTAAAAAAGTTACCTTTGGTTGGCTGGTTGGTTCTTAGAAATCCAAAATCGTTTTTTGCAAATTACTCTTTATCTTTGAGTGGAGTATAGAAGTATGGTATCTAGGGGGTTCCAACTGATTACCTATATAAACGCAAAATCTCGATGTAAAAAAATTTGAAATTTCATCATTTTAGTACTAGAAAGCTGCCTTATGATTTGGATTTTTAAAAATTTTGAAGATCCATAACTTTTTTTCTATTATAGATAGAAAGCTGAAATTTTCAGTGATTTCTATCCCAGTGGAGAACTACAATTCCTGAAAATTTCAGCTCATTTGGACTTATGTCTCCAATGATCATTTACACACGAAATCTCAACATAAAAAAAATCAAAATTTCATCATTTTAGTACTAAGGTGTGATTCTTGAGTCATAACTCCTAAGTTTTTCTATGAGAAAGGTCTCAGGATTTTAGGATCCTTACTAGGATATTCAGATTGTATCAACTTTTTAGGACCCTTGGATACAGACTTTTTCTAAATCTCTTGACTTTGTGGATGTATATTAATCAATAGGAAAAATAAGTTATTTACAAATTGTTTAATGCTCTACATTTTATTTTTCATACAAAGGAACGGACACAACTTAGTTAATTTTATTTTTCTACAACCATCCACATGTTGATACTTGCTTTTATTAGAATGAATATTTTATAGGCCTAGGAACTCAATGTTTTGTAGAATTTTTAAATGAATTAATGCACCTGTTTATGACCAATACCTACCTGACAGCTATCAGAGTAATAGTGACCCACCTCTACTACATCAAAATGCTTCTACGCTGAAGAGGTACCTCTTTTCATATCCCTTCACTTTCTCGAAAATTGAAGAATATTTAACCAATTCTTCCATTTGTATTCGTCAATTTTGGGGTTGGCCCGGGTCAAATCCTCGAAATTTCAGATCAAAGGCGCCGCCGATCTAGAGATTTTCCCATGGTATCGAAAAACTTCCTAAGCTCAAGTGCCCCCGGCTATCAGACCAATACCCACCTCTACTATGTAAATGGTGCACCAGATTTACAAGCAAAATGTTATTATTGCAATAAAATCAATGCACCTGTTTATGACCAATACCTACCTGACAGCTATCAGAGCAATACCCACCAGATACCCACCTTTACTATGTCAAAAAGGTTCTACTTCACTTTCTTGAAAACTAAAGAATATTTAACCATTTCTTCCATTTGTATTCGTCAATTTTAGGTTTGACCCGGGTCAAATCCTCAAAGTTTCAGATTAGAGGCGCCGCCGATCTAGAGATTTTCCCACGTTATCGAAAAACTTCCCAGGCTCAAATCCCCCCGGCTATCCGACCAATACCCACTTCTATTACGTAAATGGTCCACCATATTCACAAGCAAAATGTTTATTATTGCAATAAAATTAATGCACCTGTTTATGACCAATACCCATCTGACAACTATCAGAGCAATACTCACCTTTACTACGTCAAAAAGCTTCTCTTCTACTCTAAAGAGGTACCTCTTTCCATATCCCTTCACTTTCTTGAAAACTAAAGAATATTTAACCAATTCTTCCATTTGTATTCGTCAATTTTAAAATTGGCCCGGGTCAATTCCCCAAAATTTCAGATCAAAGGCGCCGCTGATCTAGAGATTTTCCCACGGTATCGAAAAACTTCCCAGGCTCAAATGCCCCCGGCTATCAGACCAATGCCTACCTCTGCTACGTAAATAATTAACCAGATTCAGAAGCGAAATGTTTAATATTGCAATAAAATTAATGCACCTGTTTATGACCAATGCCCACCTCATAGCTATCAGAGCAATACCCACCTTTACTACGTCAAAAAGCTTCTACTCTGAAGAGGTAGCTCTTTCCATATCCCTTCATTTTCTTGAAAACTAAAGAATATTTAACCAATTCTTTCATTTGTATTCGTCAATTTTAAAGTTGGCCCGGGTCAAATCCCCAAAATTTCAGATCAAGACGCCGCCGATCTAGAGATTTTCCCACGGTATCGAAAAACTTCCCAGGCTCAAATGCCCCCGGCTATCAGACCAATGCCTACCTCTGCTACGTAAATAATTAACCAGATTCAGAAGCGAAATGTTTAATATTGCAATAAAATTAATGCACCTGTTTATGACCAATGCCCACCTCATAGCTATCAGAGCAATACCCACCTTTACTACGTCAAAAAGCTTCTACTCTGAAGAGGTAGCTCTTTCCATATCCCTTCACTTTCTTGAAAACTAAAGAATATTTAACCAATTCTTTCATTTGTATTCGTCAATTTTAGAATTGGCCCGGGTCAAATCCCCAAAATTTCAGATCAAGACGCCGCCGATCTAGAGATTTTCCCACGATATCGAAAAACTTTCCAGGCTCAAGTGCCCCCGGCTATCAGACCAATACCCACCTCTACTACGTAAATGGTCCACCAGATTCACAAGCAAAATGTTATTATTGCAATAAAATCAATGCACCTGCTTATGACCAATACCTACCTGACAGCTATCAGAGTAATACCCACCTCTACTACGTCAAAATGCTTTTACTCTGAAGAGGTACCTCTTTTCATATCCCTTCACTTTCTCGAAAATTCAAGAATATTTAACCAATTCTTCCATTTGTATTCGTCAATTTTGGGGTTGGCCCGGGTCAAATCCCCAAAATTTCAGATCAAAGGCGCCGCCGATCTAGAGATTTTTCCACGGTATCGAAAAACTTCCCAGGCTCAAGTGCCCCCGGCTGTCAGACCAATACCCACCTCTACTACGTAAATGGTCCACCAGATTCACAAGCAAAATGTTTATTATTGCAATAAAATCAATGCACCTGTTTACCTACCTCACAGCTATCAGAGCAATACCCACCTTTACTACGTTAAAAAGCTTCTACTCTGAAGAGGTACCTCTTTCTATATCCCTTCACTTTCTCGAAAACTAAAGAATATTTGAACAATTTCTGCATTTGTATTCGTCAATAGTGTTCTAAACTCCGTGGGGTTATTGCAATAATAACATTTTGCTCGTGAATCTGATGGACCATTTACGTAGTAGAGATGGGTATTGATCTGATAGCCGGGGGCACTTGAGCCTGGGAAGTTTTTCGATACCGTGGGAAAATCTCTAGATCGGCGGCGCCTTTGATCTGGAATTTTAGGGATTTGACCCGGGACAATCCCAAAATTTGTGAATCTGGTAGACCATTCACGTAGTAGAAGGCAGTATTGGTCTGATAGCCGGAAGCACTTGAGCCTGGGAAATTTTTCGATACTGTGGGAAAATCTCTAGATCGGCGGCGCCTTTGATCTGAAATTTTGGGGGTTTGACCCGGGACAACCCCAAAATTGACGAATACAAATGGAAGAATTGGTTAAATTTTCTTCACTTTTCAAGTGGAGGGTAGGAGCTTCACAGAAGGTAGTTTACAGTGGAGGTGGGTAGTGGTATGATGGCTGTGCTGGAGAGGGGTTTTTACATGGTAGAGGTGGGTTTTGGTCTGATAGCTGTGAAAACACTACACTAACACAATATCGAATTTCTCCCATTCACAGTGTCACCTATTCCAATCTCATTTTTTTTTTTCTTGCAGGTTCGCTAGGTTCCAGAGTCCCTCCACCGCCTCCATCTGCCGGTACGGGTCGTCCAGCTCCCGCTATTCCCAACAGACCCGGAGGAGGCGCTCCACCCATGCCTCCAGGACGTCCTCAGGGACAAGCCCTACCCGCTCCATTAATTCCAATGTAAGTAGTTTTCAAATAATTGTTTTTTGGGTGATGGCAATTTCATATCTTGTATAGTTTTTGGATTCAATATTCTCAACAAACATTTTCTTATCCTAACTTGTCTCAATACATTACATAGAATTTTGCTGGGTTTTCTTTGTATCATATAACCTGCAAATTTTCTTTTCAGGAGGCGTTAAGAGCATGCTGGGAATGGCATAATAAACGCTCCAGATATTATTTCTCATTTCTCTGCTAGTAATGACAAAGTCGTAATAATAACCTATTTCAATGTATAAAGATTTAGAACAAATTTATCATCCTTGAATAATTCAGTAGTTTATAGTTATGCTAAAAAAAAAAATGTTATATCAAATAAAGTTTTGATATGGTATTTTTTTTTAATCAAGAGTCTGTTTGAGGCTCTGTAATTAAGACATGTTGTCTTTGATAGCCGGGCCCAGGGAGGCGTACAATTGCCGCAGCAAGTGCAGATGGCCGTTGGCCGTGCAGTCACCCAAGCCGCAGTCAATGAACTTACTAACGCCTTCAAGTTTAAGTAAATATACCATTTTTGAAAATTATTAACAAACATTTTGTTTGTAACTGATTGCAGTTGTATCGATAACAAGCTTTAATGTTTTTGTTTGCACGTTAATTACCTACTAACTTCTCTAAAAACGGTTTTTTAGAGACTTCAGAGATGAATGCGAATGTGCATGTTTTGGGTTTGGTTTTTTCCATAATTTTAACCTAGCATTGTTGAGCAAAATAATCTCAAAAACCTTCCAATATAAAATTGTATCACTTTTACCATAATCATTTTATTTGCCTTTACTAAAAACATGCACGTTTGACATTTATCAAATATAGAGTGTTTTAAATTAATCAATACCCAAAGAAATTGTTTGCAAAATAACATCATTGCGAAACATTGTTCTGCAAGAAATATTTTTATAATTATTAAAATCATATCTATTTAAATCCTTAAAGTGGCTGTAATGCGACATTTTAGAAATATGGTTTGGCCAGGTTAGCAATTCCAAATTTGCTATCTAGCCTGACCAGTATTATTACATTAAACATTGTTATTCGCTGAATACGATTAGTCTTGTTACGTAGATCTTATAATACTCAAATTTGCACCATTAGTATATAGGGAAAAAAACTAGTAAAAAAATTTTGTGCAGGCCTCAATTCAATAAAGCATACTAGGTGTCTGTAATCGTCTGCCTCTAGCATAATTAAAATAATCATTGTATCTTGCACATCTGTTATATTTCTTGCTTAATATCTCTATAGGAAAGAGCTAATGTGTAGTGATATAGATGATAGATTATATTCGTGAGTCAATTATATTGGCTATCAAAAGTTGTTATCAAAAAAACAATGTTGTTTTTTCCTAATTTATATATTATTTTGAAACACTTTGCGTGTGTCATGATTATCTATATTTTTTACAAAAAAAAAAAATACATAATATATAAACTAAAAAAATGGTTGATTATATTTGTAATACTAATATTGTATTGTTGGTGAAAAAAAATAATGTTACTGAGATAAATTATAAAAAGTTTATTGTAATTTATATTGTAGATATCGAGTAGATTTGAGAAAAATCAAATTTATTTTGGTTTTTCACCAAAATACTCTCGTACAAACCCAAAAAAAAAGTGTGCTTTATCTGTACGCGCGCACTTAAATGTAGTTACGTGTAAATATAGATCTACAAATTAGCTCTAATTTTTATTTTATCTTCCTTAACTAACCTTTGTAAGTGGTGATTGGCTTTTGGGTAAGATTCGCGTTTTGCTTATGTGTTTGTTCTGCTTTAAAAGTGCAAGGTAAGTTTTCACTAATCGAATTAACAAATTATTACAAGGTGTAGCATACATTATTTTTTCTAGCCGATCAGTCCCGAATGTGCCTCCAAGAATACCCGAAAGGCCGTACCCTGCCAGACCCAATTAAAGTAGTTCTAGTCAAAAAAATTAAATTACAAATTGGGACCAAAAAGTGTATTTGAGGATGCTGTTTTAACTAAAAATTTACACTGTGATTGTACAAAGTCGCTTTTTAATTTTATTAGGACGGGATAAGAGCAGGTTAGTGCTGATGATGACGATGTAGTATTAATAAAGTTTTAGCACTTATTGTATTTATGTATATATTGAACTATTTGTAATAAAATTTTCTAGTTAGGTGGTTAGTTTTTGTTTGCTAGGTTTTATCGAGTTAGTTTTTATGTTAGTGAGTGCACAAATGGTACATATAATATCTGATGAGTGATTTTGATCTGTTTCTATAAAAAAAAATTGAAGGTCATGGAATGAACAAAAATTCCCCTGTTCTTTTTCTGGGTTTTCTTTTTTCAGCTTTTCGTAAATTTTTTTTGATTGGTAACCTAGTAAAAGTGTATTTTTTCCACTCCAGGCTCTAGCTACCTTATGTTTTAGATTTTTCTGAACTTTGAAAAATCATAACTTTTTTTCTATTATAGATAGAAAGCTGACATTTTCAGCGATTCTTATCCCAGTAGAAGACTACAATCCCTGAAAATTTCAGCTCATTTGCACTTATAGGTCCTGAGATAAAATCGTGCTTAGCAATTTGGGGTGATTTATCAATTTTTCTGAATGCCTTTTTTCATAGATTTCGGCTTCAAATCTGAGAACAATTTAGTGTATGGAACTAGAAATCAAGATTTTATTTATAGGTACATATATTGAACAGTAAAGTTTGTGGAAAAAAAAAATCCAATAAAGCCTCTAATAGGCCATCGAATTCTCTATAAAATAATTAAGTTTCCACTATAATTTGCAAAGAAAAAAATAAGAAAAAATGCCATACAACTTCATAAATGTAATTTTTCTGGAAAAACCACAACAAACTACTAAATCTCGACATTGAAGCGAGAAAAAATCATCTAAGATAAACTGGAAAATTAATTTGACCATTTCCTTGCTCATTTTTCTAAGAAAAGAGATATATTTTTCCTATGCCAGGATTTTGAATTTTCCTTATTAGAGAAATTTGAAGGAGACGAAAATTCAAGAGGTGGGAATAGACAAAAATTGACAAATGGAAAGTCAAGGAAAATGGTGACAAAATTGGTAGATTTCCTTATTTGAAGAAATTGGAATAAGACAAAAATTCAAGAGCCAGGAACAGGCAAAAATTGAGAAAAACTGGGAAATAGATTTTTTCTATTCCTGGCTGTTGAGCTTTTCCTATTTAGAGCAATTTGGAGGAAATTATTTAAGAGCAGGGAATAGACACAAATTGAGAGAAACGACTCCTCCAGTCATCATAAACACATACAGTTTCGTATCTTATTTTCTCAATACTTTTATCTGGTCTGTGAAGTTATAATTTGCGACTATTCGAATATGATTTGTTGTAGCTCTCTTGAAGCAGGTCATAATGGAATTGTAGAACTAGTGTAGGAAATAAAACAGGAAGTTTTTTTTTTATGAAAATACAAATGTTTTATTTAAATCACATTACTAAACAACACATTTATTCATATCAATTTTTTAATATCTTCGTAAATACTATTATCCATAATTTGTTTTGCTTAATTTACAAAAATACATTATGAATAAAAAAAAACGTACAGTACAAGCAAATAAACAAAATATGTAGAAAATATTTGAAAACTAGTTTCAGTAAATTGTCTTAAAATTTAAAGGTACAAGCAGTCTGAATAAAAATCAGACATAATCAATAATAAACAAAAATTGAATTTTGGTCTCTTTATTTGCTGATTGAGCACAAGTAACAATAAACCAAAAGCAAACACAACACAAAAATAAAATATTTATCTGAAGTTGAAACCTGCGTCTATAACTCCTCTCAATGTTCCAACTAGTTTTATATCCACTGGTCGAATAGTCACTCTTTTAGCATGGGCTGCACATGCATTGGCATCGATGAACAAATCAGTCAGGTAAGCTTCGGCTATCAGTTGTAGGGCTTCTAAGGCTTCCACGGTTATCCTTTTTTCTTGCGAACAGGATTGCATTATTTCTCGGATCAGTCTGGCAAATGGTGCTTTATTAATCATGAAGTTGATTCTGCCTTGTAAGCGTCTCATCACTTTGAGCATTTCTCTTGAACAAGACTGATGTCTGGGAATGTTTTTAACTACGTAGAACACTTCTTGTTTTTTTTTAGCGCTTTTTTTCAGTGTGTCGTTCTTTTTCCTCATTTTGTTTTAAGGACTAAAGATAAATATTCTGTTAGTCAATGTAAGAGCATTTAATTGAAAAAACTTGTTGACTTACGTTTTAGAATTATGAGCCCCCTTTTTCCAACTTTTTGGAATGCAACAACAATCAAAACCAGTAAAAAACCTAACCTAGAAATGCTCTGGATCACTCAGGATTCAAATCGGTTGTCAATTATGTCATTTGTGTTGTCAATGTCGGACCCGTTCGATAAAACGGTTGTTGGTGCCTGAAAACTATCCTTTTCATAGGTGAAACTTCGGAGTGAGCTCTACTACTCCTTTCCGTGTACGAACCTGAGGCGACGTTCCGTAAATTAACCAAGATTCTTGATTTTAAGAATTCCTGTTCTGTCACCTAACCACTCATGAAATCTAGTTATGAAACACGGTTCCTGAAAAATTTGGTCCCAACTGTCAACCGAATCTACCGATCAAAAACCTTAGTCCTTTTCACGTGGCTCCGGCTAGGGCGGATATTATAAAAGTATTTTGAAGTTAACTTCTGGAATTACGTTACTTCCCATAGTTATTCTCTAGCAGCGGTATGTCAAGTGATGACGTCACTGAAAATGCCACTTGAAAACAAACGGTTTATTAGCAAAATGTTATTTTAAATTAGGCAATCCAACGACTTGTGAATATTTATAATAGGTTGATGTAGCCTCTAGTAACTGCACCAAGATTTTACGTGTATCTCGTCCCTATGTCCCTATTATTTATTTTAACTTTAATTGTTTCCATGTTCGTCAATTGATTAGGGCCGTGATCGTTTTTTCATCTTTTTCGTTGTTTTGCTCCAAAATTTTGACAGGCACGTGACTGGATCAGACAGTTTCAATTTACAAATCACGTGCCTGTCAAAATTTCGAAGCAAATCGACGGAAAAGATGAAAAAAACGAATACGACTCATGTAGGTAGAAACATCAAGAGAGAAATAACATACCGTTTCCTAACCCGATTACAAAGTGACGTCATCGATACCACTCGAAACTGAGCGGTATGTCGCAGTTTGTTGAACCGGACCAGTGAAAATCATGCTACACCATTGAGTGCTACACATACTACGATTCATGACGTCATAGTTACCGAAATGACAACTGGAGTATATTTGACAAAGAGTCTAAAAGAGGACGTTGATCGTTGTTTATTCAGGTTTGTTGAATTTTGCAAAATTTTGCATTTTCGAATCAAAATATTTTGTTAGCGCCATTTAATTTGAATTTGAATTTCGCGCGTTATTATGATGGATGGCATTGATAGCAGTGACATTGTTTTGAAATTCTTGACTTGACAGATGGCCAGAGAGAGAGAGAGTGGTTGATGAGAGGGGGGTTCACGACACCCGGTTGTTAGAAATTAGTTAGTAAAAATTATGTATTTTGAGTGGAAAGTAAATGCTGTTTTGTTCGAAATAAGTTTACTTTATTTTATGGAAAAGTGACCAGCCAGTGCCCAACAATTTTCTCTAGTGAAGATTTTCGATAAATTGTGGAATTTTTGAATTTTATGGGGACCCCAGGTCAAAAAAAATAAAATTACACTTTTCTACATAAATGAAGATTTTTTTTTACAAAAAAACCTCTTAAAAAGATCACTCGTAGATAGAATGGTTACATGTTCACAGTCGAGTTTTATGCTGTGACGTCATAGTAGGTCAGCCATGATCGCTAAAATAGGGCAATCCAACCAAGAATGATACACTGATGCTACAGGTTGCTTATCAGCCTCGTTTCTGGTAATCGCCGCCATTTTGGTGTGTCATCATTTCGGATGTCATAACTAAGTCGTCAACTGTTTAAAAAGCCTACTTCAAGGCGAGAAATTACATGCTGCCTACGTCACAACTGGTGATTTGGCAGGGGGGATATGTTAAACACAGGCCTTATGAGGATAGGCCATCCTGTAGTAGTAGCGTGTGTATCATCCTTGCAATCCAAAGAGCCGTTCTAATCGCGAGAGAGTCTCGTTTCATGCCGTTCCTGCAGAGACAAAACACAAGTTTTTAATGGAGAAAAACGAATTTTCCATATATACTTTGTATGGCTTCACAGATTGTAGCAAAAGATTTAATCTGACGAAATCCATATTGAAAAACCAAAAAGTTTCTCCTCATAAACGGTGTATGGATCCAAGCCATTTATTTATTTACTCTCCTCGCCTTGTTTCGATACCCTAAATAGCAGACAAAAAATAGAAAAAATCGGGTGTCCCACTTTTAATGCTTACGACTGTACCTACTAATTAAATTGTTAGTATAAGGTTTGTCGCAAGACATCATACCTTATTGCCAGTACCTAATTACCAGCATTCGGGTTTTCTACTAATAACTTCTTAAAATTAAAACTCTTCATCTTAAAATACGAACATTATTATCCTTCCAAGTACCAAAAAATCATTTTGAAACACTTTAAAATACACAAAAAACAGTGTTTTGATAAAAAAAAAAGTCACGGTTGTTTAAATTAAATTTATGGAGCCAATTTCCATTGCTTGTCACCTGGCATCGGCCTCCATTTTGATTGAATTGCCCTTATGATACACCCTACTACTACCTACAGTGGCTAAATAAACCTTTACATACAGTGGCGACAATAGAGGTCCCGCCGCCATCTTGTTCCCAACCTCTTGTTGCTTTTAAATAATAATATATAGGATTTAAATGGACATCTATCATAAAAAATTGAAGTCGACCTATTTGATGACCAGTATTAGGTTAATCAAATACGTTGTTTTTCATGATTTATGATGGATGTTCACCTAAATCCCATATATTCATTTAAAAGTAACAAGAGGTTGGGAACAAGATGGCGGCGTTTTCAATATAAATATATGGGATTTTAGAACCAATCAAAAATAAGACAGCAATTGTCGCCACTGTGGTAATAGAGTCACTGTACTACTACCCAAGGATGATACACACTACTACTACAGGATGGCCTATCCTCATAAGGCCTGTGTGTAACATTCCCCCCCTTCCCCTAGCCCCAAACAACCAGTTGTGACGTAAGCAGCATGGCGTTACTTGACGTTGGCTTTTTAAACAGCTGACGACTTATTTATGACGTCGGCAATGGTTGGAAACCAATATGGCGGCGATTACCAAACTTGACCAAAAACAAGGCCGATAAGAACCAACGATGATACACACTACTATAGTCCGACAAATACCATTTTAAAGTCACGTGATACTGGTGGCAAAAAACGTATGTCCATTGATTATGCCGTTGATATCACCTACAAAAAGCTACTGGTGGGTAATTACTATTGAATTTTAATATATGTTCCCACTAGCATTTTACAAACGCGTTTCTGAAGTAGTATTGACCAATCAGATGAGAATTTTAATACTTGCAATTGTTGCGAGACTCACTTTTGTCGCTTCTGCTGCCCCTTGTAATACATTCTGAACTTGAATTGGGTACCCGTTTTCTATTTGCTTCTTTTCCAGTTGGAAAAAGGTTAATATAGTCAAAATTATTAGCTGTGTTTGCTCGTTGTATTATTTTCGAAAATAACTTTAACAAACTAATTGATGACAGTAACGGATTCTATTTCAGGTAAGAATATTATGAACAATAATTAGACAGCCATTTTTTTGTCAATTTTACTATCACCGCTGTTTGTGATGTATTCAACAAGGATAGAGAAAAATCACGTGACTTTAAAATGGTATTTGTCGGACTATACTACAGGATGGCCTATCCTCATAAGGCCTGTGTGTAACAATCCCCTTCTTCCCCTTCCACCAAACAACTAGTTGTGACGTAAGCAGCATGGCGTTTCTCGCCTTGACGTAGGCTGTTTAAGCAGCTGACGACTTAGTTATGACGTCGGCAATGGTTGGAAACAGTTGAAAACCAATATGGCGGCGATTACCAAAAACGAGGCCGATAATCACTCCTCAGAGTGTGTATTCTCCTTGGATAAGAACTCCTCAGAGATTGTATTCTCCATTCTCCTTGACTACTACCAAGGAGAATACATACTTTGGGGAGTGCTTAGACTCTCTTTCCTTGTCTAAGGGAGACACAATGACAAATACAAGTTACAAGTAACAAGAGACAAAAATATAATAACATGTGTATCAATGCTATAACACAGAATAAATGGATACAAGATACAATTTACTTGCCACGCCAAGATACAAAATTTCGATTTTTTGGTATTTTGTATCTGTCACTTGTACCTTGTATTTGACATTGTGTCTCCGGCCTTATGGGCCTCGTTTTTGGCCGCCGTATTGGTGTGTTACCATTTCCGACGTCATAACTAAGTCGTCAGCTGTTTACACAGCCTACGTCAAGGCGAGAAATAACATGCTGCCTGCGTCACCACTGGTAATTTGGCATGGTGGGAAAGGGGGGAATTTGTTACACACAGGACACAGGCCTTATGAGGATAGGCCATTATCTTTGCTACAGGATGGCGTATCCTCATAAAGCCTAGTACTCATAACAGTGAAAGTCAAATTGTCAAAGCAATGTCAAAAAAAAGCGAATTTCGCAGTTATGAGTACTAGCACACTAGGCTTAAGGCCTGTGTGAAAAATTTGAATAAGATATTCATTTTTTATTTTTCTTGTCCACACCGCCGTCAAGTGTTGTTGGACCTTACCCCAGCCGCCCAATATCATATATATCCCCGCATTTACTACGCGATCACTCGTAGCAGTCGTAGCGGGCAATATACTGGATACTGCTTAGTACGAGATAATTCGTAGTGGGCTTCTGATTCAAGTAGCCCATTCCAGATATCTCGTAAGTCGGCAGTCAACGTGTTAACGCACTTTCAAAAGGAACGTTCAAGCTTTTGACATTGAGCAGCTCCGAGTACCTTTAACGGGTAAAAGAAATACAGGGCCGAGTTCAGAAATAACGCACAGGGTGCGAGTGCAATTTTAAGGCGATTTTCAGCCTGGAATGATTATTATTTGGTTATAACCAACGCATTTCCGCCGTCGCGGTTTTAACCAAAGTAGGGGAAGTTGTGACGTCACATATCAGCTGATTTGCTTTTGGTATTTACCACTTATAACCGATTATAACCCAGCTTTGGACTTGGGTTAATCTTTTGGTTATAGCTTTTTGATGTTATTGTTATTATTTTTGAAATTTGTATTGGTGTTTTGTGATTTTGCAGTTGCGTTGTAGCCTGGCACAATGAAAGAAGTATACATTCACTCACTCACTGCAATTCACCATGTTTAGATCCAGGTTTAGATCATCCCCAAAGAAAATCTGTTCGATAAACGACACTAACGAGATATTCAACTCCATTTTTTGTACCTAAACAAAAAACTATTGTTGAAACGAAAAAACAAATAAGAACAATAAACCTAATCCTACACTGCTATAACCAAATCATTTCAGCGGTCAGTTCCTTGACTTGCGTCTATATCTCAACGTGACTCCTTCAGTATGCGCGTGCGCCTACTTACCATAGAAGATTTTTAGGTTAGGTTTTTTTGTTTTGTTTTTGATCTTGTACGTTGTTACCTAAATTCCCTAATTTTGTTTCTACTGACTCTGGAATTTCTATCCACCCCGTTTAGGATAATTTTTTACTTAGCAAAAAATTAGCGCAAGAAACTCAATCTAGCCCTTAACTATTTATATCTGTAATAAATAAAACACAAAGGTACCTATGTATTTGGGTGAAAAATTTATTTTGACACAGAAAAAATCAAAATGCACATAAAATCTAAAAGAAAGTATCTATAGTCCCCGCCACAGATAATCGAGGTTCCTTCAAAAAATGATTTCTCTGTCGGCGATGCCCGGATAAGCAAAAACTGTTGCAAAAACTCTACACATAAAGAATTGAGAATAAATTTAGTCCAAGAGCATCAATTTTTTGATTTTGTTTATCCGGGCATCGCCGACAAAGAAATCATTTTTTCTAGGAAATATTGTTTTTTTCCTTCCAGCCACCAACGAATCATGCATATTTTTGGTATGTCTGCTTAAATTGCCCTGATTTGAAAATGTTTTGGAACACCAAGTACAGACATATACATATCTACAAAATTTGGATACATCTTCACTTCTGGACTTACTTCTCATTAGACTTACTCAATCACTTTTACTTATCTATAAGCCCTTTTTAATGTTTTCACTGTTTCCCTCCATCACGATACGAATCAACAGATATGTAACTACAAAAATTACCCTAAACGGAGTGAATAGAAACTTTAGGGTCAGTAGAAACAATGTTACGTTACGAAACAAGTACAAGTTCAAAATCAAAACAAAACAGGAAAACCTAACCTTAAAATCTTCTGTGGAAAGTACGCGCACGCGCAGACTGAAGGAGTCACGTTGAGAAATAGACGCAAGTATGACATCACACTTGGCTGTCAAAGTTGTCAACCAAAAGAATAACCACGGTATTTACCGCTAAATAATCATTCCAGGCTGAAAATCGCCTTTAAAGGTGTGCCTGAATTGGCAATTGGCCATTAGCATTAGACCCATAGCACCGTCTAGCATTTTTGAACAGCTAGGGCGTCGCACCGGTGTCGCACTCACACTGGGTGTGTCATTCCTGAACTCGCCCCAGTAATTGCGTCACTGGCGACTCTGGTTGAGATACGGAACGCCGCCTAAGCGGATTCACCCTTTCAAGCCTAGTACTCATAACTACGAAATTCGCATTTTTTTGACATTGCGTTGACAATTTGACGTTTTATGCGTGTATCAAACGTCAATTTGTCGAAGCAATGTCAAAAAAATGCGAATTTCGCAGTTATGAGTACTAGCAGGCTTTTAACCTTTAAAAGCGATACCAGAACAATGGAGTGCGTTCCTACTTGGAACAAAATGTCAAACAGTTGAGGTGTTTTCTCGCGTCTCAAAATTTTGAAACATTTTTCAAAACTGATTAAAAACAGTTTCACAATGACGTCATACCTTCTCGGTGCAAGAAAATATTTTAAAACCGTGGATTGGATTGTATTTCGAAACGGTTTGAACCAATTTTGTGTGACGTCATGCGTTTGTCGCAAGAACATACTGTTTTGTACCAGTTTCAAAAAACTGGACGCTCTGGTTTTCAAATTTCAATTTTCCGGCTTTGGATCAGAACTAGTCTGCTCCGAGTGCTGCACTGATATGAAAAATTGAAATCGCTTTAAGATATCAACAACATGAGGACGACATAACCATTAGATAAAGGTGATCCCAATTTCAAAATATTTTTGTTTTTCTTTTGATTAGGAGAAGCGTTGATTGATGTAATCTACAAGTTTTTAGATAAAATCGTGCTTTTGCCAGTTGTTTCAACAATTGTGTGCTAGTGAAACAAGTAGGAACCATCCTAGAAACTTGATCACTACATTATAAGTAGGACTTGCATCAGAAAAACGATTTTTTTTTTTTTAAATAATTTTTATAAATAAACAAAATTCTTGTTTGTTCAAGGTAAAAACACAGTAAGCTACACTCTCTCTTGATAGTCATGGCAGCCTTTTGTACTGACAGAGAAAAGGAACAGGTAGTCGAGAAGCTGAAGGAACTTTTCGGCAGTAGACTTGATTTGGACATTATTAAAGCTGTGGCAAAAGCTTTTAACTTCGACGGTAAGAATTTTGTAGAATATTTAACAAGTTCATTCATTATTAATCCTAATTAAGCACAGGTAATTCAGTTTTCCAGTCATAAAGTCTGTTTTTGAATTAAACAAATCCTAAATCTAGGATGTTGATTCTTATATTAGGCTGCATCAATTTGAAGATGACAGTGCTTGATAGTGCATTGCAACAATTAAAAATAAACTTGGGTAGTAGATCTGTATTTCCCAACTTGTAGTAGATTCCCAATTAATGTGCTGACCTTGCAACCTACTTGTTGTCAGCAACCATTTAGTAACTCCCAAATTTCCCGCGTCATTTGGTCGCAGCACATGAATTAGGGAGCTACTAGGAATGGAGAAATGGAGAACTATTACTACTTATAATAATCTTTACAGGGTGTTCCTAAATATCATGTACAAATGGAAGGGGTGATTCTTTCGATTATTTTGTCACTGAAATTTCTAGTAAACATAGGTCCTCAAACGCTCCGTTAGGTTAAGCAATAGGAGCTAAATGATTGCACATGTCAAACGTTTGCCAGAATCTACAGGGTGATGTTTTTGCAGTGGTCAGGCCCCCTTCTCTGCCATTGAACTTACTTTTTTGCAGTATGCCGCTGGTAAATTCTAAAAAATAAAATAGTGTTTCTACCTTATTTAGAAAAATTTTGTTCTCTTGTAGTTTTTTCAAATCACCAACCCTTATCGAGAAAAAAGATCAAAAACAAATATCTGTAATTAACTAGATGAAACTAGTGAATCAATAAACCCTTTCTACCTACAGTGGCGATATTAGAGGTCCCGCCGCCATATTCTTGCTCATTTTCAATAGGAATCTAGAAGCAAGCCCCCCCTCTTGCTGCTATATTCTTGCTTATTTCCAATATAAATACATTAAAATTTCAACACTCTGTAGATCAATAACAAAGCCTTTGCGGACCTATGTTCATTAGAAATTTTAGTAATAGAATAAAGCAAAGAATCACCCCCTTTCATTGATTATTTATTTATTTATTTATTTATTCATTTATTTACATATAAGAAAAATACATTTGAAGTTGAACAGAGTTTATTTACAACTAATGTATAATCTGCGTATTATATTTGTGATTTTGGCAGTATAATGACATATGTTATTCCTCCAGGGATTAATGACGAGTAGCGGGATTAATGGTCATTATTCCACTATCATTATTGACTCGTGGTATAATCTACTATTAAATCTAAAAAAAAAAAAAAAAATTCTAACCTAAAACAATTCTCCTAGCCTTCGTCTTAAATTTATCCAGAGATAAACCAAAGAACTCAAGGCCCTCACAGAACTTATTTACATTGGCAGATATTCTATTCACAGGACTGAATAGTAAGTACCAGGTTCGACAGTAAGGAATGTGCAGTAAATATTTACTTCGTGTCTGATAACTTTGAATGTGTAGATTAAAACATTCAAGACATTCGTGGCTTTTTATGTAGTAGTTAAGAATTTTAAATGCAAAACAGACATCAAAATATTCCCTTCTGCGAACAAGAGTAGATAAGTCTAAATAAGTCATAGTCAGGTCATCACTGAGAATCACACCACTCAAAGAAAGTTTGTACCTTGCAAACTTGATAAATTTGTGTTGAACACTCTCAAGCCTATTGATGTGGATCTGATAGTAAGGTGACCAAACTATGCATGAAAATTCAAGAACGGACCTGACCAGTGATGTGTAAAGAATTTTGATAGGGCGTATACTTGTAAAGTCCCTAGTAGCTCTCTTAATAAAACCCAACATTTTATTTGTCCTGCCAATTACCACTTCAAAATGCTTAGTGAACATTAGCCTAGTATCTAGATAGACACCAAGATCTTTAATGATAGGAACTTCAGACAAGCGAACATTGTTTAAGTAATACTGCAAGGGAATACTATGGGTGCGTCTACTGAATCTTATACAACAGCACTTATCGATGTTGAGGGACATGTAATTAAGCTGACACCAATCGTGAACGATGTTAAGATCATTTTGCAAAATAAGTATGTCTTGAGCTGACGTCACCTGACGATACAACTTCAAGTCATCAGCAAAAAGTAAAAAATTTGAGGAGAGCAACGATCCTAAATCGTTGATAAATAAGCTGAATAGAAGGGGGCCCAAGTGAGAACCTTGGGGTACCCCAGAGGATGCATGGAAAAGAGAAGAAAGATAGCCATCCATCTTGACTTGTTGCATTCTGTTAGTAAGGTTTGATTTCATCCATGAAAATAAATGTCCAGAAACGCCGAAACTTGAAAGCTTTGAAAGAAGGATGTTGTGATTTACCTTATCAAAGGCTTTACTGAAGTCAGTATATATTGCATGAGTTTCTGTATTATTAGCAAATGATGAATTTATAAATGTTGTAAAGAGAAACAGGTTCGTCTCAACGGATCTACCGGCTGTAAAACCATGCTGTTGACTGATCACAATTTGATGAAATATTTTTGAAAGAATTTCTTCCACGCACTGCTCAAATAATTTTGGAATCGCAGACAGAATGCTGATGGGTCTGTAATTTGTTACATCATTTTTGCTGCCTGACTTGTAAATAGGACAAACGTAGGAGAGCTTCCACATTTCTGGAAAAATTCCAGAAGATAATGATTTGTTGAAAATATTAAATAGAGGAAGATACAAAGTGTTAGAAAAAAATTTTAGTACTTTGTTGGGAATACCATCAGGTCCTGCAGACTTGTTGATGTCCAATTGCGTTAAAGCCCTCTCAATATCAGTTGGATCTATGACAATGCTTGAAACATTCTCAAATCGATCAGCAAAGGTTCCAGCGTCGGAATTTCTCTGAGGGTTATAGACGGAGGAGAAATAGACAGCAAAAAGATTAGCTATGTCAACACCGTTGGACGCCTTTTCTGAGGCAAGAAACATTTCGTTAGGAATAGTACCCTGATTAGATTGGGAGTGAATAAAGTTCCAAAAAAATTTCATATTGGTGTCTATGGCTCTTTCAGTATTACTTATGTATAATTTATAGCACTCTTTGGTGAGGTTTTTACAATCTCTCCGAAGTGTACTAAATGCAAAGTAATCCAAACCACTATTTGACCGCTTGAATCGTTTGTGAGCAATTTTCTTTTGAAAAATCAGATTTTTCAATTTGTTAGAGAACTAGATAGGAAACTTGTCGCTGTAAGAATGTGCCTTTATGGGAACAAACATATTAAAGCAGTCGAACAGTACTGAGTAAAAGCTCTTGACAGTTTCGTTTAGATCCTCCATCATAATGGATCGCCAATCAAAGGAAAGAAAATATTCATTAACTAGATCAAAATTGGCATTTTTAAAGCCATAAGAAAAATAATTAAGAGGCTTCAGAAATTTAGCTTTAACAACAGGTATGGAAAACTCTAGAGCTGGGTGATAACGATCACAGCCCACCAGACCGTCAGATGTTACAAGTGAAATAGGCCGAAAGTTGGCAAAGCATAGATCCAGGATTGAACCATGATCGTTAGCCACCCCATTGTATTGAGACAGATTAAGAGAAGCAGTACTATCGCATAACAATATTTCCTTAGTTGTCTTTACATTTCCAGGTAATAAACCCGAGAGATCCTCACTTGTGGACCACGTTATTTGGGAAAGATTATAATCTCCAAGAACAAGCACATTATCAAACATTTCACAGGCACTAGCAACTGATTTCAAATGGTTTTCATAATGGAGCAGATCCATGGTAGGTGGAATGTAGACACAGCCAATACAGAAGACCATGTCACCCAGCGTAACAGACACCCACGTTTCCTTCACCGATGCTTCACCAATTGACAGGCGATGAGATTTTAGGCAATTATTTACTGCCAGAAGGACCCCACCTCCACGGCTTTTAGTACTGTTCAGACTGCTTCTATCAGAGTGATAAACCGTGTAACGCGAGTCAAGAAATTCGGCATCACAGATACTACAGTCTAGCCAGGTTTCCGTAAATGCAATAACTGAGAAAGACTCGGCGCGAGCCGCACAGAAAGCATCTTTGAGTTTGGTTTTTAAGCCTCTTACATTTTGGTAGAGAAAGGTAGCACAATCTAACGAGACTGGTCCTCTCTGTTTCCTCTCTGAAAATTTGCATTGGACGGTTTTGCCCCCATACGGCGAGGATGAAACTCCTTGACAGCAATGCCTACTAACCCCAATTTTAAACGAAACCACATCTTCATTTTTGTCCAACACCAAGCATTTGACATAAGGAATGGAGAGCTGATTCTTCAAATAGTTAGAGATCTGTTCCTCAGTGGTACTCGGATCGATCGACCCAGATATAGCCACTGGCGTCTCTCACCTGCAGAAAAAAGACCTCTATCAGCACCTGTGCCAATTAATACTGGATTATTACTTGAGTGGTCCGATACTCTCACAGGATTAGGCACTGATTGGCGCTCTATGCTGCGGATCGGTCGCTGGGACTTTTGCTGTCCAGCTAGTTGCAGGCTATTAGATGACTGAAAGCTTCTTGATTCATTCCTGATGGGTACCGCCTGCAGATTAGGAGGAAACTGAGATGGGGTTTGCGAAGAACCTGAGCAGCTTGATGCAGTTTTCATAGAATTCAGGGTTGCAGTAAGCAGTTGGAACTCATTCTCAAGTTTGAGTAACTTTGTCTGTAAATCTTTGTTACTTTATTCCAGTTCCCTTAGCTTCATATCATAAACAGCAGATGCCGCTGAGTTGGGCATGATAACGCTAGTATTGTCTATTTCCGAAAGATTATTGACTGCAGAAGTGATTGGCTTTTCCAGTGAAGAAAGAGTGGCTTTGATTTCACCAACAGTGTCAGTAACACCATCCAGTTTCAACTTTAAATCATTATAATTAGTTGCAAGTTTAGTGTAGAGTGTATCACACACCTCACTGGTGATATTTCTGATTAGCACTTTCAAGCTGCCGCCAACATCATTACCAAGCGACTTCACGGAATTTACACAGCCACTGCACGCATAAAGCATTACTCTGGATTTTAACCGGGTCA